CAGGGCCCTCTGGGAAGGGATGAGCGGGCGGGGGGAGGGGTGTTTCCCCACTTACAGGTGCTGCTTCTCCCGTGAGAAGGGGTAGGACAGTCTCTTCGTGGTCTGGGGTCTGTGCCCTGCCACCTTGGGCTGGATGGGGTCCGTGATTTTCTGGAGCACGGAGTTGATCTTTTTCAGGAGGCCACGGGTCTCGTTAATGTGATACAGCTGCAGAGCAGACCGGGAAGGGGGGAGTCTGCGTCATCTGCTGAGCCGTGACCCTCGCAGTCTGTTCTCAGAAGGTCACAGAACTGTCCCTCTCCACCGAGATGGCAGGTCCTGGGAACAGAGCTCCGGGATGGGCCAGAAGGCTCCCTCCGCGCCTGCTTCATCCGGACAAACCCAGCGAGCCCGGCGGAGTCCGAGGAGAGCCCCGAAAGCACACACCCTCCAGAAAACCTGCCTGTGGACTTTCCTTCATTCCAAAAGAGGTAATCCAGACGGTCTCAGTGGACCCGAGAAGCCGGGGGCTGATTTACGCCCGAGGACAGCTTCGCTTCCTGCCTCCCTCTCTGCACGCGAAGGTAAACAGGGACGCCTCGCTAAGCTTCAGGAACACGCTGTCAGGCCGATTCCCGGCCGGAAGTTTTTAGACATGACAAAGAAAAATCCCAGCAAGCTAGGAAACGTAATTAAAAGGAGTCTGATGAATTAGCCGAAACACCGCAAGCAGGAAAAGCAAGACTGAGAAGCCTGTGTTTGTGTTTATAGCAGGTTCCTCTGACCCCTCTGCTCACGCCAATCGCTTGCTGGGGTTTGGTCCGGGGTCTCTAAAGGGCCCCCTGGGGCCGCCCCACACCCCCCACAGTCAGGACACGGGAGCCCACGGCCCTCGCTCGGCTTCTCACCACAGCCGAGGAACCCTCCCATCCCGACCGCCCCCCCCCCACCCGGGTGGCATTTCCCCCACCACGTGCCCCTGCGACACTCAGACCTCGGGGCAGCACCAACCTTCTTCGTCGGCATCTTCAGTTTCAAAAACTCGGCTTCTCTGCACAGCACGTTCCAGGGCGCGTGGATTTTTACAAATCCAACCCCGTGAATTTTAGTCTAGGGAGGAGAGAAGTGCTCAGTCAGCGCGCAGAGCCCGGGGTCGGGGACCGTCTTCCCCCGGGGGCACGACCGCGGCTGCTGGGGTGCTCGCTCACTCCTCCTGGCCCCCCTCCCTGCAGGGCGCCCGGCAGCCAGAAGGGCCTGGACCGGGGTCCCGGACTCCGGGACACGTGGGGCATTTTCAGGGACTCCAAGCGGCAGGTCCGCAAGAGAGGACCTTTCACAAGGGAGCTTGGGCCCGTTTGACCCGGGGGATACACGAGCCGCCCGGTGTCCCCGAGCAGGGATGGGCAAAGTGGACGCGTCCCCACCCCCGGGCTGGATGTCTTTCCTCCGTGGGGCCAGGCCACGCCTCCACCTGTGCCCAGCAGACCCCTGCGGTCCCCCTGCGGCCCCTGCGTCTGCACCCGCTGCCTCCATGCTCACGTGAGCGGACAGCCCGGTACAGGGGCTCGAGGGCGGGCCTGTTGGAGCCTGGCACCCCCAAAACTGCTGAGAGCTTGGAGGGGGAGTCGCTTCCCCCTGGGCCAGTGGGTCTGAGGGACAGCGAGGAACGGCCCAGGGCTACGGGGGCTGGCTGGCCGGGAGCTGCACGGCCAGGGGCTTTATCAGCGTGGACACCACGGCCCTTCACGGCGGGAACACGGGGCTTGGGGAGTAGAGTCACGGCCCCGCCTCTCCCCAGAATGAAAGCAGCACACGGTGCCTCAACGCCCCCCGCCCCCCGGCCCCGGCTGTATACCCAGAGGGAAAAAGCCTGGACCTTGGAAAGATACGTGCATCCCACCCTCACGAGCACCCTTCACGCCGGCCAAGACAGCGGAACCGCCGCGTCCAAAGATGGACGAGTGGGCAGAAGACGCGGTGTGTGCGCACAAAGGAGGATCACCGGCCACGACGTGGCAGAAATCCCGCCATCTGCCACAGCGTGGACGGACCTGTGCCTTCTGCTCCATGAGACAAGGCGGAGAAAGAAAACACCCCGTGGGACCCCCGACACGCGGGATCTTCGACGGCGGGTTTCACAGAAGCGGAGAATCGACTGCTGGCTGCCAAGGGAGGTGGGTCAGAGGCTGCAAGCTGGCGTTAAAGGAAGCCGGGCTCTGAGGTCCCCGCGCAGCACGGCGATGCCCACACCGTGGAGATCCTCCGCAGCGGCCGCGTCCGAGATCTCACCTGGGCCACCGCCCCCCCGCGGGTGAGACACGTGAAGCCTCCGACACCCCTCGACCTATCTCCGAGCCCCTGAATTCTGGGTCTCGATTCCCTTGGTGGCTCCAACAGCTCCAAGGAGGTGATACAAGGCATGTGCAACATAACGGACGTTCCGAGCGCCCCGAGATAACCAGCGTGCCCCGTGGTGGTGACGTCACTGCGACCAAAAGCCAAGAAACATGGCTCGTCTGTGAGCCAGAGGCACCTACGGCAGAGGGGCCCGCAGCCCACCCGACTCCTCGAGGGGGACCCCCCCCACCGGGCTCAAAGGCCGGGCTGCCCCAGACAGAGGTCCCGCCCGGCTCTCCTTTCCACGGTCCTGAGGTGTAAGGGGACCGACCGGGAGTCTTGGCAAAAGGGGCCCAGGCTGTGGAAGGGAGGGTGTCGCCCGCGTGAGCCCGGCACCCAGACTCGGGCCCAGGCTCCGTGTCGCGTCCCCAGCCCGGGAGTGGGCACTGCGCGTAGCTTCGTTGCAGGTCTGGGGGGAGGAACAATGGGGCCAAAGTCACGTGGGGAGGGATGCTAAGAGGAATATCCTCCGTGGGCCAAATACACCCGCACACCAGCCCGCGAAGCCGAAATTCACAGGAACCCAGGAGAACGCGGGCAGCTGGGCGGCGGGAGGCAAAGCTTCCAGGTTGGCACAGAGAGTGACAGGCGGACCCCACCTGCACCCGGCCCGGGGAAGGGGGCCCTCCCCGACGCCGAGCTCCAACTGGGGCTTCCTCCCCATCCCAAGAGAGGGGGGCAAATGCCCTCTGGCGGAATCCCAGCCCACCCCTCCTCTGCCAGAGCCCCCACTCCCCTCGGGGGCCAGGGGAGCCGTCCTGTCCGGGACCCTGGCCTCAGTGCCACCGCACAGGCCTCCTCTGCGCCGCCCCAGCACGAGGGCCGGCCCGCTCAGGGGCCTTGGCCTGCCGGCCCCACTGCCCACGGGCATGGCACACGCGCCCCACACGTGCTCGTCCAGTGAGGGGACGAAAGCCAGACACAGGAGGAACGACGGTGACGGTGCTGAGACCCGCTTGGCGCACGGGTGTGCATGGACTCAGCCCGAACACAAGCCTGGGGGGTGGGGCCGGGCCTCACTGCTGTCCTCGTCTTGGAGCTGGGGACCCCGTGCAGGCTCACGACACGCACTGCGCGGCTTAAAACGACGCGGATTCGTTCTCTCACGGTTCCGGGGCCGGAAGTCTAAACTGAGCTGCCCTCGCGGCCACAGTCCGCCTGGAGGCTCGAGCGGGAAGGTCCTGCCTGGCTCTTCCAGCCGCTGGGGGCTCCAGGCGTCCCTCCAGCCTCCGCCTCCGCCACCACGTGGCCTCACCCGTGTGTCTCTACGTTTCAAACCCCTCCTTTCTCTTCTAAGGACACCTGTCATTGGATGGAGGGCCTGCCCTAAATCCCGGGTCATCTTGCCCAGAGACCCTGAACTCCATCCACAAAGACCTTTCTTCCAAGCAAAGTCACATTTGCAGGTGCCAGGTGGACGCAGCTTTGGGGGTCACCGTTCAGCCCGCCACGCGGGTCGTAGAGCTGCAGCTCTGAGCCCCGCAGGGCTTTGTGCAGGGAGCCTGTCTACGTGGTCAGAGGAGCTTCCAAGAAGCCTGGGCCCAGGAGCTGGGGCCTGAAGTTGCCTCAGAGGGACCAGCCAGGACCAGGGTGCTAGGGACAGAGGCCCGATGGGTGAGGCCTTCAGGGGCCCCGGCGTGCCGTACCCAGCACAGGGGGCTCTGGGGAGCGGAGCCCCCATCCTCCTCCAGGGCCGGCGGGTCCGGCAGGCACCGGATAAGGTCCTGAGGTTGGGTGGCCCGAGTCAGCACCCTGCCCAACCCTGTGTGTCTCTGGCGAGTGATTCAACCTCTCTGAGCCCGTTTCCCATCTGCAAATCTCTGCAGCGTAAGACTTGCTGCATCCTCAGGGCAGCCCCTGGTGCCCCTGGCGTCCCCACCCAGCCCCCCGGCGGGCAGGAGAGGTCACTCTGTTACTTCTGCTCAGGAACGCCTCCCCTTGGCCACGGGGCAGCCGAGGCCATGCGGCTAACGTGCACGGGCGCCCTTGGCCAGCAAGCCCGGGGAAGCCCCGGCGGGCACCGAGATCTGAGAGGCCGCAGGGCCCCGGGTCCCGGTGACTCATGGACACAGGCTGACCCCGCGGAGGAACCCGGGGCGGGGATGAGTGACCGTCAACAGCCCACATGCAGCAGGAGGCTGTCTTCCCGTGTCACAGACCCGGGTCTATTTCTGGGCACCGCTCACCCACCCACAAAGACCCGAAATCCACTCTCCAGAGTCCCACGGAGATTTGTGTGGATGACGACGAAGGAGCTGGTGCCTGTGGCCGGCCTGCCTGGGAAAGCACGCTCCTCTGTTTACGTGAGCAACGAGGTCTCTCCCAGGAAACATCTGGCGGGATTTGGGAAAGGGGCCGTGGGACCAGTTCGGAAAAAACACATGTGGATGTGGGATGTTCTCGGACGTGGTGCCCGGCCTGACCGCAGTCCGCCCCCAGCGGGAAGAAAGCGCGAGAGGGCCGGGTCCCCGTTTCCCCAGCCGGATGCCCGGAGCAGCGAGGGGCGGGAGTGCCCGCAGGCCCCTGGCGCTGTCCTGGGCAGGGGCAGGGCCCCCGGTGCCCAAGCCGAGGACATGCCCACCTGGCCAGGAGCTCTCCGGGCGCAAACTAAGTACGTTCAAGTCTCTGTTCTGAGCCAAACTCGCAAAAACTGTGACCTCGCCAGAACTGTTTCTAGCACTTTCCTTTCAGAAGGAAGCAGAAAGTCACAAACCAAACAAAATAACATCCCCACAGGGGACTCGCGGAGGCTGAGCGCCGCAAGGGCTCCCCCCACATCCCCACGGCCGCCATCTGGTCGCGGCCTCCTCCGGCAGCTGAGGGCTCGGGGATTGCTGGAAGGTTCTCGGCGGCAAGGACCAGACATGGGCGGTTTCTGGTTGCCCTTGGCTCCCCAGAGCGCTCCGGGCAGCACTGTCTCCTCGCCCCCCTCTGACCCCCAGGCCGCTTCACGCCCCGCAGGCACCCTTCTGGCTGCCGCGGGGTCCTGACTGAGGGAACTGAGGGTCCCCAGGGTGCTGGTGGCACCAGGAAGGTCTCCGCGGCGGCTCCCGCCCTGTGTGCTGACCCTGCCCCGGCTCCACGGGCGCTGGCTCTGCTGTCCCCAGCAGGGACGCCTGAGCTCAGTCCGGAAGGGGAAGCCCAGGAGGGGCTCAGGCTGGACCCCCGACCACCACCCGGGCCTCGGCTCCCGACGAGGACCTCGCGACGCCCACCTGGCACAGGCCCCCTCCAGACCCTGCCCTCGGAATGCCAGGCCCGCCCTCGGGGAGGGGTCCTGTTCTCTGCCACAAATAGGTTTTCGTGGCCCGCGACGCCCGGTGCCGCGTGTCCCGCCAGGCGCATTTTCCGCGGCACGGGTGTCTGTCTGCTCTTCTGGTCGGCACCAGTGTCCCACACGGATGTGACCTGGAACACTGGTTCTGGGCCAGAGATGTCCGTTTGGCTGACCACGGATCCCCTGATCCTAGGGATGGAGAGGGTGCCTGGTGCCCTGGGTCCCTGGAGCAGGTGCTCGATGACGCTCGCCGAGGAGGGGGGAGGAGGGCGAGGTCACCCCTGCCGAGCACCCGCTGGGC